TGACTCCACTGCTGATATTTGTGGCAAAGCATACAGAACGTATAGGTAATTGAAATATCATTGTTGATGAGCGAAGTATTGGTCTGTTAAACAAATGTCTGAGGCATCAATCTGCTGCAAGTGCTGCAGGTATCGTCGAGCAATGACCTGCTTTGAACGACCTCTCAAGTATTTAGGAACAAGCGAACGATATTCCAACAGTGTGTTACTTGACCTGGGCGATTCATGCTTACTTTGTTGCGTCCGACTGAACAGTTCACTAGTTATTGCATTTACCATGGCAAATTTAAAACAGCACAATTATTTTCGAATCATATCCTAGGTGCGCTTTCTAGGAAACTGGAAGCAATAGGAAAGAGCAATACATCCGGTATCAGAAATTGAAACATCACGAGTACTGGCGAATTGACAAGTTTCCACGTGGCATCCACTACGGAACATCAGGATTATGTTTTGCATATATATATATATCATGGCTACTGCGTTAAATTATGATTATTCTTCCTCCATTTTTGACTAATGGTTCGACGCAAAAACTTACGTGGACGATGTTATATTTTGTACCTACCAACTCGTTCGTTGACATGACACACCGGCCTTATCATCAGGGCAAAATATAATAATTCTATTATATTTTTTCCTGACGTTGTCGGTGTCAGACATTGAAGCTCCTTGGGGAATAAAGGATTTTACATAGTCTTAACAATCTACTGCCTTGAACTGAGAATCACAAAACGCTAGCAGTCATTTTTAAAACAAGCAATGAGGTGATATTTCTTTCCATGTTTATTGGCGCATAACTCCTCCAAGATCAGATGCACCGACTTCGAGCTCATAGTTACCTGGGGACGTTTAACTAGCCATAGATCCCTGCACTTCAGCACCTACAGTACCTCATACTCTGGCGTGCGAAGATATTTAATCTATTGCATATTTATAAAGTTAATACATCATTTCAGTCCCTCTGGTATGGTTACTGATTTTTAGTTGTGAACTCTCGTATCCTCGGTTCGCTATCGGGTTTCGCAGACTGAATTGCAAGCTACAAAGTTTTAGTACCTCCAAACATGTCAGATGAGGTTTATTAGTTTATGCAACAACTGCTGCTGTCAGCAGAGCGCATCTTTGCGCAAGATTATTCTGTGATCATAAGGATATTATGATATTATGATATATACTCAACAGGTCAGAATATTAAGTACAAGATCCGAAGCCGTGGAATTCAAAGATTTCCTATACACATAAACCGAGCATAATTAAAAGCCCAAAGTTTACAGCGTGAACGACTGCCATCACCCGTTGCAATAACGAATAGCCGTTGTCGCGCAGCTGTTTGTTAATGAGGTGTTGCAATCAGCTGGAGTTCACAGTTCGTCGTAACTCAGTTCGGAAAAGTCTGTCGATGGCCCCCTGTCGTTGTTCTTTCCGGGTTGCCCGAAGCCGGCCGGCCGGCCGGCGGCATCGCAGCAGTGATGGTCGATCGTCGATTGCCAACGATCGAATTCCGTCGCCTCCCGCTTCCTCCGTCCTGTCACTCATCCTCGGCCGTCGCCCCGTAAGTGATTACTTGCCTATGTTTATGTAACGGATTAGGACTCGAAATTCAAGTGCTTAACTGCACTTCGCGTTAATCGTCGTTGGGCCCCGCAGTCACACCGATGGACCCGGCCGACCGCCGTCCGGCTTGCTGTCGTCCATCCACCCGAGTGATCGCCTACGAACTCGTTTTAATCCATCGCATCATCTCTCATCGTTCCTGGTCCACCGGACGGAATTCGATTTTGCTTCGATCGGCCACCGACCGGCGAAGAGCCTCCGCCCCCTCCGTCCCTCTCGCGCGTGCCATCGCTGATTGACTCGACAACGACGCCGGGTTCCCGTCCCGGCAACACGACAGGCTGTTTACTCTGTTATATCAATACGCCTTTTGCATACCTCACTTCTGCGCTCTCCCGCCCGGCTGCTCAGAGCTTAACTTCGGCTTTCGACAGTCTGTTTTGTTCGATTCGACCGAAACACCGCCTCTGATCCTCAGTACCGTGGACGTAACTGTCTTCGTTT